GGCTCATACTGACATCTGGAAACCAGAGCTAGAATAGACAGAACAACTATGAATGGCCCAATTTCTGTCAACAGACCTGAAGGAATCATTAGCAACAGAAATGAAATATCAACCACTGAATTATATGGTATGTTAATTATATGTCAACAAAACTGTTCATATTATTTTTTTTAAATACAATAAGTGTTTTGACTAAAAGAAAAAATATAAAGAGTTTATAATAGGAAAAAAAGAAATGGGAGGTTATTTCTAGAATCTAAATACAGTGGAACAGAGCAGCAAGATTTTCGAATGGAGTTTCAAACCTTGACATCCATATCCATGTAAGTATTTAGTCAGTATCACTTAGTGCTATTTAGTTTCTCCTCAGGAGAAACACGAGACTTTCTATTTCTGTCAAGAGTTACAATCTCAGAAACCCGCTGGGGCAGTTCTACCTTGTCCTATGGAGTTTCTGAGTCGGCACTGAGTCTGGGGTTTGTTTTTTTTAATGCTGTGCTACATGTGTTTGTTTATTTAAACTAATATCTTGTGAATCCTTTCGTGTATGAGAAACATACAATAGGACCCTAGGTCAAATGGTGAATATTCCTACCAGATGAAGAAGAAAAAATTTACTGAAGAAGAAAAGAATTCTTTCTTCCTTTCTCACCTTCTACACCCCACACAGGGCCAAGCTGAAGAAATGCGAGTGTTTGCCTGTAGCAGTGAAGGGCTTGGAAGACTGAAAGATCCAGGGTCAAATCTTGATCTTAGTATTTATTATACCAGATCCGATTCTATGAGAGGGTACCTCCCCAAAACTGGAATTATGCTGGGCAGAGTGGAGCTTTCATAGTACCCATTTTTCCCCACTAGGCAAGCATAGAGCAATTCACTGTTAGTGCACCCAGTGGCAGCACCTGGGAAGGTTCTCCCTGGTCCCCATGAGTTTTTTCATGAAAGCAGTTTCACTTGAACCTCATTTTTTTTGTGATGGCTGATTTAAGAGAGCTGCTTGTGGCTGTGAAATTTTGTTTCCTGCTCGGGAAAAATGTCGCAAAAACTGTTGTGATGTTGAATACAGCTTACAAGGGCAGCGCTATGGGAAAAACTCAAGTGTACGAGTGGTTTTCTTGTTTCAAAAAAGGTGAAATGTCGATTGATGACAACCTCAATTTGGATATCCGTCAACTTAGCCAAATGGACGAACATGTTGTAGTGCATTTGGAGTTCATTCCATCAGGTCAGACTGTTAATCAAGCTTTTTATTTAGAGGTTATGAAAAGAATGCGTAACAGTGTATGACAAAAAAGGCCTGTTTTTTAGCAGCTGGGGGACTGGTGTTGCCACCCACCACGATAATGCACCAGCTCACGCAGCCATCTGTGTGTGCCAGTTTGGGGCAAAAAACAGCCTGCCTCGCTTGCCCTACACACCCAACCTCACTCCATGCAACTTCTTTTTGTTTCCGTGAATGAAGAGGGACATGAAAGGACAGCACTTTGATGACACAGAAGAGGTGAAGAAAAAAAAACAAGGGAGGTGCAGTCAGCCATCCAAACATGACTTTGAAAAATGCTTCCAAGAATGGAATCGCACAAAATAACAATTTATAAATTATCAAGTGCTCGTGAGGGAGGGTGGGGCTGGGAGAGAGGGGGAAAATGAGGACCTGGTGCCGGGTGTTTAAGTGGAGAGGAAATGTTTTGAGAATGATGAGGGCAATGAATGTATAAATGCGCTTTACACAATTGATGTGTGTATGGATTGTGATGAGTTGTATGAGCCCCTAATAAAATGATTTAAAAAAAAAATGGAATCGCAGATTTGACAAATGTATTAATGTAATGGAGAGTACTTTGAAGGTGATAAGGTTAATTGTAAAAAAATTTAAATACATAGCTTTGAAAAAAAATTGGGTGGGGGAGCAATCCCCTCTATTTCTGAACCTCTGTGAAAAAGACCTAGATTTATCAATCTCAAAAGAACTAGTGTGATCACTTGAAACCACTCCTGACAAAAACATGTTAGATGCTTTCTAAATCTCAGCAGGGAGATCAAATACCAAACTGAGGGCAGAACCCTCGTCCTGGTCCTCTTGTTTTAGAATTCAGCACTGCACCAGAGGATTTTACTTACTGATTTCTGCTCTACCTGGTTTCCAAGAGGATTTGAGGTGGTATTCACGTCCTTATATCAGCACACTCCTTCAATTCGATGAGATTTCAATTCTTCACAGTAGTGTGGGTCTAGACATATAAAACACAAACTTCACATAACTGGGGGCTTAAAAAACTTCATGAGGAAATTCCATTACGCTTGAATCCCAAGGACTTTTTGAAGCTCTCTCCTACATGACAATCAATGGATCTTACCTACTAGAGCTCAGTTTCATAGATGGGACCAGGTGCGTGGGACCAGGCTTACCCGTCAGCTAGCGACAAGTGGGGCTCCCAAGACCTTTCATCATCCTCCGGGTGTGAACTGAACTAACTCACCCCCATGTTAGAAGAATCAGCCATTTGAGAGCCAATGGACAGCACAGACCTAAGTACCCAAGGACAAAGTCCTGAGGGTTCGGAGAGAAGTATGAAGTGGGATAAGCCCTGGGCACATTGAGGGTATTGAAATGGGTGAGTTGAAACAAAGTGTGTACAAACAAATTGTAAAACTGATCTGATCGAACACCTTCCCCTAATCTAAGGTGATCGGACGTCCCGCGTTTGGCGGGACAGTCCCGATTTTTAACAATTTGTCTCGCGTCCCGGGGCATTTTAAAAAAGTCCCGATTTTTGGAAAGAATGCACGACAAGCTAGGGAATGGTGGGAGAATGGTAAGGGAAATATGGTTTTCGGCTGCCATGTGGTTATTTCGCCAGGATATGAGTTTTATTTTATTTGTTAATTTTATAATGTTAAACTTTAATAATAACAAATAATTGTTGAGAACTGCTTATCAAAGTTCGCATTGTTGGTCAGTTGTTAGAATTCAATCACCATTGTTTGGACTTAATGAACAATGGAATTTTTTGTCATTGGCAATGAAGAAAACATTTTATAACTGTCTCTCAGATGATTCACAACCTACTGCATGCTAGTGCTAGTTAAACAAGTGATGTCAACAAATCAGCTATTCAGATAATTTAGGTAAGTAATTATTTATTTTATAGATACATAAATTTTCTTGAATTTAGCAGTACTGGAATGATGTGCAAAAACCATTCGATCATTTTACTCAAAATTTCCCATATAGTAATATTTCCGAAAATGATCTTTTTAATGAGATATCATTATTTTAAAAATATATTGATAAGGAAAAGGTTAAATCTTGGGCATCAGCAAAAATCACAATAGAGAACAAATGTTTAGAAATATTTCATCATTTTGAAACAAACCATGCTCCATACAATAATGCACTAAAAATTTTGGAATACGGGCTGTTCTTACCAGGAACTAATGCTGCGACTGAACGCATTTTTTTCTACGGTAAATAAAGTGTGGACATCAGAAAATTCACAATTAAGTGTTGAGACTTTGAAAGCCATTTTATGTGTGAAATATAATTTAACAAATTCTTGTGAAAAATTTCATGGCCTTTTAAACAATGACAGCAATCTACTAAAAAAAAAAATCACTCACACCAGCCTATGCAACCACGAGGTGTCAAAGGGATCAGGTGTAAGGCATCATCAGAACAAAAAATCTTACCATAGTGAATGATGGGGGGAGTGCGGAGTGGAGATCCAAAGCCCATTAGTAGGCCACTGGAGATCCCCTTGCAGAGGGGTCTCGGGGAGGAGATGAGCCAGTCAGGGTGAGATGTAACAATGATGAGAAATACAATCTTCCTCTAGTTCCTAAAGGTTTCCTCCCCGCTCCCACTATCATGACTCGAATTCTATCTTGCAAGACTGGCTAGACCAGAGGATGTACACTGGTACAGATAGGAACGGAAAATACAGGGAATCCAGGACGGATGAGCCCTATAGGACCAGTGGTGTGAGTGGCAAAACAGGGAGGGTAAAGGGAGAATGGGTAGGAAAGAGGGAACCGATTACATGGAACTGTGTGTGACCTCCTCCCTGGGAGACAGACAACCAAAAAGTGGGTGAAGGGAGACGTCGGACAGGGCAAGATATGACAAAATACCAATTTATAAACTATCAAGGGCTCATGCGGGAGGGGGGAGCGGGGAGGGAGGGGAAAAATGAGGACCTAATGTCGGGGGTTTAAATGGAGAGAAAATGTTTTGAGAGACGATGTACAAATGCGCTTTGCACAATTGATGTGTGTATGGATTGGGATAACAGTTGTATGAGCCCCTAATAAAATGTTAAAAAAAAAATTTTAAAAAAATCACTCAAATGAGAAATATGCCAAAGAATAAAATAATACTATACATAATTTAATGTATTTTTAAATTGCACTTATGTCGAAATTAAAATATATATATTACAATACTATTTTTGCATTCTTTGGAAATTTTTGTTGCTCCATATAGACCAAATTTTTCATCAAGAACCCCCTCAACCCCCCCACCCCCGGTCCATGGTGTCCCGCTTTACCAAAGTTCAAATCTGGTCACCTTACCCTAATTCACAACAAAAATTAAAACATAAACAAAGGAAAAGGAAAAAAACTCACAATCATTAAGAAAATAGACCTTGCCTGTTTGTCGCGCTACGCAGCCAACTGTGAGCTCCATGTGGCCTCGCAGGGCTAAAAGGAAGCCGAAGGGAAAGAAACCTCCCTGTTCCAGACGGCGGGCGTTCGGGAACTCGTGGGTGGAGCCGGGCGGCCTCTGAAGCGCGTGGGATGCTGGGGATGGTAGTTTCCGTCCGGCCTCCGCGGCCGAGCGTGGGGGAGGGGCGCGCGTGGCCACGCGCCCGGCTCGCCGCGGCGGCGTTTCCGGTCGCAGGCGGGCTCGGGGGGAGAAGGAGGAGCGCCTAGGCCGGCGCGCGCAAGGCCACCTGGGAGACGGGGCGGGGCGAGCGGGTGCGCGCGCAGCGGGCCGGCAGTGGCAGCGGAGGCAGACTAGTGAGCGATGGAGGAGGGTGGCCGGGATAAGACGCCGCTGCCCCAGCAGCCCCCCGTGACGGCCCCCGGCGGCGCGGACGAGAAGCAGAGCGGCAAGGAGCGGCGAGATGCCGGGGACAAGGACAAAGAGCAGGAGCTGGTGAGACGCGGATCCGGGAGGCAGGGAGAGGCCGCGGGCTGAGTCACGACGGCTCCGCAGGCCTCGATTCGGAACGGCCCCACCGCGCCCTGCAAAGGGTGGATGGCGCGACCCCCGGGGCTCGCGGGGCCCAGCCTCTCTGCCCCTCGTCCGCCACGCCGCGCTGTCCATTCTGCCACCCCCCCTGTCACGACCGCCGTGCGAGGTGGGGTTGGGCGGGTCATTGTCGCCCACATTTCAAAGAACGGCCTTCAAACAGGGCTTGGCCCAGAAGCCAAGATGCCCCCCACCTGCCCGGGGGGCGTGGGGAGGAAGGTGTGTTTGGCATTTCTTGCCCTGATGAACTTCTCCCCCTCCAAAAAAACACCTTCCAGTCCGAGGAGGACAAACAGCTCCAGGAGGAACTGGAGATGCTCGTGGAACGACTCGGGGTGAGTCCGATGTTGGCCTGCGTGGGGTAGGGACGGTTTGGTTTGCCTCACTGCATGTGAGAGCTTAACGCAAGTGAGAAGTAGGAGAAAAAGTAGGCTGTGCTTCAGGGGGATTGTGATGATGGTGTTGGGAGCAGGAGGAGTTGCAAATAATCTCTGAAAGTTATTGTACACTCCTCTTCTACAAGAAGTGGTTCTTGGACTCATCGTTGTCCTCATTTGCTTTTTTTATTTTATTGTTTTATAAGGAGCTCATACAACTCTTATCACAATCCATACATACATCAATTGTCTAAAGCACATTTGTACATTTATTACCCTCATCGTTCTCAAACATTTGCTCTCCACCTAAGGCCCTGGTATCAGCTCCTTATTTTTTCCCCTCCCTCCCTTCTCCCCCCCACCTTCATTTGCTTTTGTGGGGGGAGGTCAGGCAGTGTGTTGGTATTTGGGGAATCACAAATGGCATGTGTGTGTACTTTCCCGGGAGAGCTGTTCATTTAATGAGCCTGTATTATGACCTGGTTTGTAGTATTAAATTAAAATGGTGACGTGGATGGGGGCCAGCCCCCACCGCTAATCGCAGGTTCAGTAATGCACAGTTGTATGGTTGAGATATATAAGTATTATATTAAAGCCATCGAGAGCATGAGAGATATTACAATAATACAGTCAGACACATTACATGGTAGCATTGCTCACCTCAGCCCAGTTTGGTGGTCCACGTGGAGAGAGGGGGAAGGGAAGGAGGGCAAGGGAACAAGGGAGAGAGGCAAGAGAGGGGAGTGACCAGGGAGTGAGCAGCAAGGAGATCAGAGAGGTCCCAGGGCTCTATATTGCTGACCCACACCTATATACCTTTGGGGGGCATGCCAGCCCACTAATTACAGGTAGAGACATATGTCACAGGAAGGGGTTACCCTATAGGTAACAGTAATGAAAGGGTGGTCTAGGGGGTGGTTTCTGGGTCTCCATAGAGGAACCATTATCAGTAGGGTGAAAACTCCGCCTATAGGAGCCTGTCCTTTGTCCCCAGAGGCAGGGAGCAGGCCCACCCCTGTGGTGGGATTAGACAGCAGTCTGGCAACTGATTGCCCTCAGGGGAGGGAATGCCTGCACATCTGACCTCCCCCCACAGTGGTAGTCTGCACAGGGAGTTGGGCATTAAACTGCTGACCACAAGGTTGGGAGTTCAAACCCTCCAGCTGCTTCCCCAGTGAATCTGAGGTGGTGTGCTCTAATCAAGATGTACAGTTTTGCAAGCCTTGAGGAGCAGTTGGACTTTGTCCTGTAGGGTCACTAGGCATTGGAGTTGGCAAGGTGGCAGTGGGTTTGGCTATTATGTTGTGCATCCTTTTTGCCTGAACCCTAACGTGTCCTGGTCAGGAGAAAGACACATCCCTGTACCGGCCAGCCCTGGAGGAACTGCGGAGGCAGATTCGCTCCTCGACAACCTCTATGACTTCAGTGCCCAAACCTCTCAAATTTCTCCGTCCACATTATGGCAAGCTGAAGGAACTCTATGAGAACATGGACCCTGGAGAGAATAAGGTAAAAACGGTTTCAGCAGCTGATGGAGGCCTACTTTAGGAATTTCGTCCTCTAGGCTCTGTAGCCAGTGATGTGTCTCTGGGGGGCCTGAGAGACCTGAGTTGGATGACAGTTGAGCATGGTCAAGACCCTTGGGAACAGGAAGGAGATTTGACTTCTCAGTTGACATGGTTTTTGTCATTTATGTTGGACCTTGGGATTCCATGAGCATAATCTGATTTTAACTCATGTTTGAGCTTTTCTTTTTCTTCACTTTCTCTGTTATCTCCTGTGCATCTATTTGTTCTATTTAAAAATAGACATTCTCCGTTCAACCGCCTATTGGTTCAACCCCAGTCCAGGAAACTTGAGCTCTCCCTGGACTGCTGCAGCAGGCTCCTGAATGGCCTGTGCTCTTCAGCAGCCATGGAGGGCTTTCTAGGTTGTTTGCTTTTCTTAAAGTCTTTAATCTGTCCACTTTTTCAAAACCATTTTATTGGGAGCTGATACAGCTATCACACCATTGCCCAGTTCATGCTAAAAGCCTTTAAATCAATTGCTTGTGTAATTGGAATAAAACTCGGGGGTACCTACCATCTTTGTTCATTCTGTTCCCTAGTTACCACCCTTTTAAACCATGTTGGTTTAAAAGAGATCGCAATACCAACCTTAGCTTACCGTGAAACTTCACTTAGATGACGGGTAGGTTTCTACTACAGAGGCTGGTGTGTGATCAATGCTTAATTTGGCAGGGAGGGCAGCAAGAGGGATCTTGGTTCTATAATGTCAGTTCCCCTTACCTGGGGCTGACAGATGTGACCTCTAAGCGTCGGTCTCTTCCCAGCGCTTTGCAGCTGACATCATCTCTGTCTTGGCCATGACCGTGAGTGGGGAGCGCGAGTGCCTCAAGTACCGGCTAGTGGGCTCCCAGGAGGAGCTGGCATCATGGGGACATGAGTATGTTAGGTAAGACCTGTTCTTGGGGTTTCTCGGGGCAGGGTCCGTCCGAGGCAAAATACGGTATTCCTTGCCCCAGGAGAGTGCTTCCCTTGAAGCTCTGCTCCTTTAACACGGAGGCTGGCCTGTTCACAGGCATCTGGCAGGAGAAGTGGCGAAGGAGTGGCAGGAGCTGGATGAGGCTGAAAAGGCGCAGCGGGAGCCACTGTTGACCCTGGTGAAGGAGATTGTCCCCTACAACATGGCCCACAATGCAGAGCACGAGGCCTGTGATTTGCTCATGGAAATTGAGCAGGTGGACATGCTGGAGAAGGACATCGATGAGAACGCCTATGCCAAAGTCTGCCTCTATCTCACCAGGTGAGTTGGCACAGTCGGGGTGGGCGGGTAGCCGCCTGCCCTCCCCGGCGCTCCTCACTCTGTGCCATTGCCTCTCCTGGCTCTGTGCTTCAAGGGGAGCACCATGCTGCCATTAATTGGTTGATGTCAATTGGTTGACGTCCATGAGCTTCCTCAGGACGGAGACTTTGTGTCTCATCGTCTCAGTGTTTGGAGTAAGGCCTGGCATAAAGTAAGCATTTGGTGTGTGAATACTTTGTCAGTGAGTTAAATGAAGCGAATGAAAGCCTGGTACTTTCTAATTCTTGAATTCTCCTTACCTTTGTAGTTGTGTGAATTATGTGCCTGAGCCTGAGAACTCGGCCCTCCTGCGGTGTGCCTTGGGTGTATTCCGAAAGTTCAGCCGCTTCCCTGAGGCTCTGAGGTTGGCGCTGATGCTCAACGACATGGAGCTGGTAGAAGACATCTTTACCTCCTGCAAGGATGTGTATGTGGGGATGGAGTTAGCAGGGGAAGAGACAAGCTTGTGGGCAGGGCCTTTACCTGGAGAGCGGGCAGGCGTGGTTTCTGGTTTGGATCAAGTTGCAGGGGGCGGCGGGAGGCCATGCCTGAGGCTGAGCTGCTGCACTGGCTCTCCCCCAGGGTGGTGCAGAAGCAGATGGCGTTCATGCTAGGCCGGCACGGGGTGTTCCTGGAGCTGAGTGAAGATGTAGAGGAGTATGAGGACCTGACTGAGATCATGTCGAACGTGCAGCTCAACAGCAACTTTTTGGCCTTGGCCCGGGAGGTGAGGCCCTGCCCCTGCCGTCCAGGCTTTTGGGTTGGCGTCCCACCTCCCTGGCTAACCCTGTGACGGGTTTGCCTTGGTTGGAATTGCCCTTCTGTGGGATAGCCAAGGGGAGTTTGGGGAAGAGTGGGGGCAATGGTTGTGACCCTCTGACTTTTCTTCAGCTGGACATCATGGAGCCGAAGGTGCCCGACGACATCTACAAAACCCACCTGGAGAACAACAGTGGGTAGCTGTCTCCGTGGGGGGAGGATGGGGTTGTTCGTTACACCCTTTGTGTTTGGAGTGATCTGGAGCCCTGGTGCATAGTGGGTTAAGTGTTCAACTCAGCAGCTGCTCCTTGGGAGAAAGATGAGGCTTTCTGCTCCTGGAAAGGTTTGCAGCCTCAGAAACCCGCCGGGCCAGTTCAACTCTGGTCTAGGGTTACGAGGAGGCGGAATTGACGCGATGGTAGCCAGTTTGGCTTTTTGGGTATGGAGGCGCCCGCATCCCCTGGGCTTGTTCTCCAGCCACCGTTGGGCGCCTTAGGACCAGAGACTTGGCTGCCATGCTGGGTCCCTTTCTTGTCTTCCTACTCTCCCTCCTTCCTCTCAGGGTTTGGGGGCAGTGGCTCTCAGGTGGACTCTGCCCGTATGAACCTGGCCTCCTCGTTTGTGAACGGCTTTGTGAACGCAGCCTTTGGCCAGGACAAGCTACTGACCGATGACGGCAACAAGTGGCTGTACAAGAACAAGGACCACGGTATAATCTCTGACCCTCCTTGGTTGCCTGGGCCATCTCTGTTGCCCGCCTAGGTTCTTCCACTGCTCGGAGAACCTCGGTAACAGCGCTGTGTTACAAAGCAGGGCTGTTTTGAGACAGAGATGTTTCCTTGGTGTAGGCATGTTGAGTGCAGCTGCGTCTCTTGGCATGATTTTGCTCTGGGATGTGGATGGGGGCCTCACCCAGATTGACAAGTACCTGTACTCCTCTGAGGACTACATCAAGGTGGGTCTGGGCACAGCTCGCTCATGGAACCCCCCACCCCCCACCCTGTGTTTGTAAGGCCCAGCAGTGCCTCCCTTCCCGGTCAGTTCTGCCCAGTTTGTAAATCGAGTCCAAAACTGCCACGAGGCCCATGTGGCATCTTTTGTAGCAAGGCGGGCGAGTGGGTTGACCGAGGGACTGTGCTCTGTGCAGTCTGGAGCCCTCCTGGCCTGCGGCATTGTGAACGCGGGCGTCCGCAACGAGTGCGACCCTGCGCTGGCGCTGCTCTCAGACTACGTCCTCCACAACAGCAACGCCATGCGACTCGGCTCCATCTTTGGGTAAGGCTCCCCGCTTCTCCGCTGGGGGTGCTCAGCCTGGGGCTCTTCCCCTCCAGTATTTGGTGGGTGGCGAACGTGGAAACAGAATGAATGACCAGATCTCCTCCTGTGGACGGCCCCTCCCTGGCTTTTGCAGGCTCGGCTTGGCCTATGCTGGCTCTAACCGGGAAGATGTCCTAACACTGCTGCTGCCTGTGATGGGAGATTCCAAGTCCAATATGGAGGTGGGTAGAGGTTGATCATTTGCCTAAGTAGGAAGGTGCGGTGAGTCCTACTTCTGCTTGGGATAAATGGTGAGCTGTGTGGTGAGAGGGGGCTTCCCTTGGTGAAATCCCTTGTAACTGGGACCTGAAGCCTCAGGTGATGTTGAAGCTAAAGAGTTATGTAACAGTCTCTGGGATTCTCCCTAACACCCCCCCCCCCCACAAGAATGTGACCAGCCAGAGCTCACTCTTACCTAACCTGCTTCGGTTGGGTAGTTCTCAGTATTTTAATCATTGGTCAACCTTTAGTTTTCTACTTTGGCTGCATCCTTTTAATGTTAGGCGTCGGAGTCAGAAAAGTCTCAAGTTCAAATCCTGGTGCATCTGCTTCTGAGCTGTGTGATCTTTGCCAAGTAACTCAATTTCTGTAGGCTTTTTCTCATTAATGAAAGAAAGGTGGCAGAAGGTGTTTCGTGAGGTTGCCATGAGGACTAAATGCTGGTAGTTTGCAAAACAGATGGCAAATGTCAACACGTTGCAGTACCCCACCCCACCCCTCAAAAAAACAAAAAAAACAAAACGGTGCCGCTGAGTCAGTTTTGACTCCAAGTGACCCTGTCCACAGTTTCCAAGGCAGTTCAGCTTTAGAGGAGCAGACAGCCTCATCTTTATCCCACGGAGCTACTAGCGGGTTAGAACCACCAGCCTTCAGTTAGCAGTCCAACACTTAGCTGACAGCATCACCAAAGTTCCCCCAAATGAGTAGGAACTTGGATAAGTGGTTGCCGTTGTTGTTTTCAAAAGGGGCTATTGCTTAGTGTAGCTGGTGAGGCTTGCCGTGGACTGTAGGAACCTGCTGTCTTCAATCAAGACTGCTAAGTAAATAGAACAATGGCTGTCTCCCCAGGTGGCGGGGGTAACAGCCTTGGCCTGTGGAATGATAGCCGTGGGGTCCTGCAACGGGGACGTCACCTCCACCATCCTTCAGACCATCATGGAGAAGTCCGAGACGGAGCTCAAGGACACCTACGCTCGCTGGCTTCCTCTCGGCCTGGGCCTCAACCACCTGGGTGAGGGCTCCCTCTGGCTGGGTGGCGGTTTCGCTGCAGGCTGGGCCGGGTCGGGAGCCCAGCCCGGGCCCTCGAGCGCCTTGCTCCCCTTCTGCAGGCAAGGGCGAGGCCATCGAGGCCATCTTGGCTGCGCTGGAGGTCGTGTCGGAGCCGTTCCGCAGCTTTGCCAACACGCTGGTGGACGTGTGCGCCTACGCAGGTCTGCGCCGCCTCGTCGCTCTCTCCTGCCTCCCTTGTGGCTCTTCCTCCTCCCGGGTGGCCGTCTGTCCCTCTTTGGGTTCTTTAGGCGTCTGTCATTCCCAGAGGGGTCGTTTTCCTTGATGCCTTCTCGTCCCCACCCTTCCTCCCCCTTCCCAACCCTGCTGCAGGCTCTGGGAACGTCTTGAAGGTACAGCAGCTGCTCCACATCTGTAGCGAGCACTTCGACTCCAAGGAAAAGGAGGAAGATAAAGACAAGAAGGAGAAGAAGGACAAGGACAAGAAGGAAGCCCCTGCTGACATGGGAGCCCATCAGGTTGTGCGGCCGTGGGTGCGCGGGGCAGGCTCCGAGAAGAGGTGTCTGTAGGGGTTCTCGGCAGCCGGGTTGGGCTTGGTGTTTAAAGTCTCTCTGGGTCTCCCTGTGCATGGAGACAGCGGGAGACTGGGCCGGTGGGAGGGTGGTGAGATTGCGTCTGGCGGCAGGGTTGGGGTGTAGGTTTTCTGTCCTTGGCTTACTGGGTTCTTCAATGGCAGGGAGTCGCCGTGCTGGGCATTGCCCTCATTGCCATGGGGGAGGAGATCGGCGCCGAGATGGCCCTGCGAACCTTTGGCCACTTGGTGAGTGTCTGTGGTGGAGGTCGTGGCTGGGCTCCCCTCGGTGCAGTCTGAGGAAGGGGCCGTTGGACACTGTCACGGAGCCTCCGCTCACCCACCAGGCTGTCCCTATGGCTTAGCTCCTAGCTCCTTGCCTGTGGGTGCTTCCGCTGATGGCCTCCGTATCGTCTTCTTCCACCAGCTGAGGTATGGGGAGCCCACGCTCCGGCGGGCTGTGCCTTTAGCACTGGCCCTGATCTCTGTTTCAAACCCACGGCTCAATATCCTGGATACCCTGAGCAAATTCTCCCATGATGCCGACCCAGAAGTGTCCTACAACTCCATCTTCGCCATGGGCATGGTGGGCAGTGGTGAGTACCAGGCAGAAGAAGGTGACCTTCAGCAGATGGGAGCCAATTTGAGGCCCTGTTGTCAAGAGTCTGTTTAACCTTTTTCAGGTACAAATAATGCCCGTCTGGCTGCCATGTTGCGCCAGTTAGCCCAGTATCATGCCAAGGACCCCAACAACCTCTTCATGGTGCGCTTGGCACAGGTAAAGATAGACCGTTCTTCCTTCGAGCATGCCAAGGACAGTATCTGGTGAAGGCAAAACCTGTCTTGGCAGCAGGGGGACCTGAAGTCTAGACATGGGACAGAAGTGGGCGAGTTGTGGGTTGTCTGGGTGACCACGCTAGGTGACGTCTCCTCAGGTGTGACTCCCCGCTTCCACTTACTCCCCTTGGTTTTTCCCAGGGCCTGACACACTTAGGGAAGGGCACACTCACCCTCTGCCCCTACCACAGTGACCGGCAGCTCATGAGTCAGGTGGCCGTGGCCGGACTGCTCACCGTGCTGGTCTCCTTCCTGGATGTCCGCAACAGTGAGTTCCTGCCTGTTGGCTTTGTACCGCCCTGGGCTCCAGGGCGGCCGGTGGGGGCTCGCGAGACTTCCATCTCCCACTCTTTGGGTCCGGCCTGAGGAGAGCTTTTCTGCTGAGGAGGAAGAGCTGTGTCCGGAGTCTGCGCCTGTGGGACTGGGGGACACCCGCCTGTGCGCTGACCCTGTGCTGCCTCCCCAGTCATCCTAGGCAAGTCGCACTATGTACTGTACGGGCTGGTGGCTGCCATGCAGCCGCGCATGCTGGTCACCTTCGACGAGGAGCTCCGACCGCTGCCAGTGTCTGTCCGCGTGGGCCAGGTGAGGCTTGGAGGAGGGGTGGCAGGACTTCAGAACCCTCAGAACGTGGCCGTCCCTGCTTCTCTGAAGCCACGGGGGCAGTGGGGTTGCTGCGACTCCATCTGGAGGCCCTTCACTGCGGTTTTCTCCCCGTAGGCCGTGGACGTGGTGGGCCAGGCCGGCAAGCCCAAGACCATCACAGGGTTCCAGACACACACGACTCCAGTGTTGCTGGCTCACGGGGAGCGGGCGGAGTTGGCTACTGAGGAGTTTCTTCCTGTCACCCCCATTCTGGAAGGTTTTGTTATCCTGCGGAAGAACCCCAACTATGACCTCTAAGTGGGCGGCTGTCAGGCCCGGAACTGCAGCTGATGTGTCCGTGGCCACACTACCTGCTGCCAGCTGGACGCTGGGCCAGACCTTTGAGGGGGGACTGTTAGCACCTGTTCCTTTGTTACTGCGTGAGATAACTTTGTTGAATAAAGACCTTTATGCCCCAGGTCCTTCTGCCTCTTTTCTGGGCTGGACTAGGGAGGGCAGGGAAGAGGCATGTGAGCGTGCGACGTTTGAAGGAGCTCTAGGCCTAAAGCTTGAAAAGCCTCTGCCTGAACCAAGGAATCGAGAGTCCCCTTCCTCACCAGCTTCTGTGTTGAAGGTCTTAAAGCAGCCATTTCTCTTAGGAGCCTGAACCCCCAGAATCTGTTAACTGCCATGGATCTCCTGGGAAATGCACACCCACAGAACTTTACACGATGATCCCATCACGTGTAGCTTTGCAGAAGCCTTGTGGCTCCCACACCTCTTTGCTTTCTCCCACCCAATCTTCACCCGCAGCCAATGCACCCACATGAGCCCATCGTCCCCCGACCTTAAGCTAAAGATCTCTGCTACTCTCTTTTCTGACTCAAGTTCTTTGCTGCAGAATGAAAGGAACATCTTTACCTCCTGTGACCCTCTGTGCTTGCAAGGTTGCTATTTGAGAAATTTGATCATGTTAACATCTGGGCCTCCTCGCAGAAACTGGGTGCAAGAAAGCTTGACCCAGACCTCAGTCAAGTAGTGGAAAAAGAGGAGTGGCCACCTTGTAGGCCTCTTTTCCTGGAATGTAATCCTTTGTTCTGCAGCGCTCCTTCCTGAGGGGATTGCTCTGAATATAGCTACACTGGACCCCTGTGGGTACAGTGGAGGCCATGTGACCCTAACAGAAAATCATAGCATTATCCAACGCCGTGGGTCTCACCCCGGAACTGGCTGGCACTTAGTAGCTCTTCTGTAAGTGTTGGGAGAAGAACCATTCTGTAGCCCTACCCCCACCCCAGGTATGTGATGATTTTATTTGCGACTGCACAACAACTTAACCTTGCTGAGAAGTGAGAGATTGGGAGGTCAACTTGCTCAGGGTAAGTAGTGGTAGAACCAAGATTGGAACGTAAGCTGTCCATTCGACTAAAGCCCACGCGCTTACTATGAATCTGTCTCCAGCCCGAGATCCCCGCTCTAGAGAAAGTAACTTTGGATTGAATGTCCCCACCACCTTTCTCTGGCTTGGCGGCCCCGTGTGAAAGCTGATCTTGGGAGTCGGCAGATCGGTTGAGCCCCTCAATGTCAGCTGCTGTAACCTTGCGTCAGTAAAAGCCTTTGATGCCTCTGTTACCATCTGCATAATGGGGACATCAGGATTTCCTTCACTTCAGGTGGTGAGGCCACAAGAAACGAATCGATTTTACAGATTGTACAGGTAACTTGCTCATAAGCTGCTTGCTGTTTTAGAGCAAGCAGTTCTCATGGCCCATTTATAAATACACCAATTGCCTTACTCTGCCTTGAACCTTATTCTAGTTGGAATGCAAAGGTCGAAAAAGCACCCTATGCTTTAAAAGTGTATATAATGGTGGGGTGTGTGTGTGTGCGACGGACAAATAGTGACAGGGAAAAGTTGTGCTGATCAATACTATATTGGGGAGGGAGTGGACAAGATGCCCTGGAACCATTGAAACAGGGCCTAACTGCTTGGGTGAGTCAAAGGTAACTTCTTGGGGAAAGCTGAGACAGAGAAAAATGAGACTGTCCAGAGGAGAAAAAGGGTATGGCGTTGTGATGGTTCCATTCTGTCAACTTGCTGGTACCTGTGTGGAGGTAGGGGTGGAGTCCACCCCACCAAGTCACAGCCCGATGATGCCTGCCCAAGGGTTTAGCCTTTCACTAACACCTCTCACTCCTCTTCGCCTACCTACTTACTTAGATTCTACATCTGACTCGGGTGGGCAGACCATGTAACCTGCCACACCTGGAGGCTGTGGCCCCCTGCCATGTTCCTGTGGACCTTGGGTCCAGGCAACTCTGCCCTCACTGACCTCTGATCTCCCAGCTTCCTGCTTCATCCACCAACAGCCACATGAGTCTGAAGAGGGCCCAGGCCAAGAATGGGCTTATGGACGACCTGCTTGGACCACTTTTTGATGTAAAATTCTTGATAGAAAGGACTTGCTCTTTTAGCACGAATACCACTAGTTTTGTTTCTCTAGAAAACAGCTTAACAAATAGTAAAAAGTAACCAACGCACAGAAAAAACATTTGTTTTCAGAAACCATGCACTGTTTAGTTTGGCTAAGTGTATAGGCGAACACAGGAAAGTGTGGTAGGAGATTTAGCTGGAAACATAGGCTCTAACCAATGTAGATGAACGCTGTTATGCCAAGACATTGGCGATATCTAGACGGAGACCACTGTATGAGAACAGGAGAGTGACGCCATCAGTAACGCAGGGGAGAAAGGCCAGGAGACTAGGCAAGGGAAATGACCCCTGAATTCGAACCGTTGTAATGGGGAGGGAGGAAAGGGGAAATAAAGTTTTGTTTTTTTTCAAAAACAGATGAAGTCAATAGATCTTCATGTTTGATTAGCTGTAGTGTGCCAATGGGAAGGAATGTAGACTGACCCGCAGCTTTTCAGTGTGGGCATTTAATTTTGGCACTTTATTAGACATCTGTGGGTGTCTTTGGGGTTGACGTTCGGGACTCCATAGACCATACAGGGAGAGATGCCGAAGTCCTATCTGGACATACACCATTTGAGATGCCAGTGGGGGGGTGATCAAGGGAAGAGGCTCTGTCATGATGGGGGTCCCAGAGTCATTTCTGAGCTAGGAATGGGCTGGGCAGTCATTCTCATGAACCAAACCAAATGAAAGGCTTGCAAGAGAATCCATTCTGATTCATAGTGGCCCTGTGGGGCAGAGTAGAACTGCCCCTGTGGGTGTCGGAGGCTATGGATCATTCTGTGACGCAGCTGGTAGGTTTGAAATGCTAACCTTCCACTTAACCCAACATATTACCCACTGTGCCCCCAGGAGGCCGTCATGCTAAAGAAGGCAGTCATGAATCCATTGTAGTACCCGGATGAATGAACTTCACCAGAGATGAGAAGGCAGAGAACAGCCCTACCTGACAACTGACCCATTGACAAGCGTCGTGGAGAACACAGATGTACGTTTTCACTCTTACCATGGTCCCTCCTCCATGGGACTCTAGCTAGCTCTTTGGAACTACTGCTGTATTCTCTTAAAGGAGGTGACTATTGAGTCTACTGTCCCTTAATTTGCCCAGCCTACAGCTGTGTGTGTGAGTGTATATGTGTGTGTGTGTGTGTGTGTGGTAGGTGAACGTTTACCAAGCAAATTGGTTTTCTCCTCAAGCATTCATTCATACACATTTTGCCTTGTCATTGATTACAATCCCCAGAATAAGAGCATTCTTCCCACTTCCTCCTTGTGTTTACCATTTCTTTCTTTCTTTTAAAAATCATTTTATTGGGGGCTCTTACAGCTCTTATTCCATACATCAACTGTAGCAAGCACATTTGTACATACGTTGCCATCATCATTTTCAAACATTTCTACTTGAGAGCTTGGTATCACCTCCCCCACCCCCCATCCTTGTGAATCCTTGATCAGTTATATATTGTTATTATTTCGTGTCTTACACTGTCCATTCTCTCCCTTCACCCCCACATTTCTGTTATTCATCCCCTTCGGTGGGGGGGGCTATATTTCCAACCTTGTGATGGGTTTCCCCCTTCTCCCCTTCCCCATTCCCCTCCCTGACCCTCATTCCATTTCTATTCACCATTTTTCTTATTATTTGAGTTAGTTAATTGTGCCAGCCTGGCCGATAATCACATGTGGGGCTAATTGAAAGGCGGAGGGATAGATGGGTGGTGAGCCTCGCCTTTCTAGTTCTCGGGTCTCTTGTTTTGTGATGGTTGCATCCGGGTGCAGCTGCCTTAGCAGTTCCCTGCTTCAGCTTGCAAGATTGACTTCCTTCAAGACATCCCCAAGGAGAAGCCACATGGACCTATCCCGATGCAGCCCTGGGTGCTGGGGCAGCCGTGTGGAGACCGCTGCTAGTGCTGAGATGCTTATTCGTTTACTGACTCAGCTTTCCTCCTGCAGTCGGCATCATTGCCTCTGTTTTGTGAGGTGGAGGACTTTGTGGACTGGTGTTGGGTTAATGGGTTAATGTTGGACTTGTGGGCTTGGGCAGCACTGGGTTGGGATGTTTTCGTGATGCACATTTTCTTTACATAAAACTCTCTTACACATGAGTTGCTGTGGATTTGTTTCTCCAAAGTACCCAGACTAATACATTATTTAATATAAATTTTTAATTGTAACTTAGGTGGGGGTTTACATTTCAGATCAACTTAGCATTCAGGAACCCAAACCACTAGCCAGACCCCTTCCCCTTTCTCTTTGATCCCTTCCTCCTCCTGAGAGCCTCACTCCTGGGCAAATGCCCTTTTGATCTCATATGGTTGGTTGTTGGATGGAGTGCAACTCTCTCTAGTGTTCTTGATCACCTTATAGGTCTATCCTTTGGTTGCAAGTTGAACTATGGTGATGAGTTCAGTTCCAGGTCTAAGGGTCATAGTCTTGGTGGGGGGGTAGGAGGGGTGAGAAGTGATTTCCACCAGTTTCCATCAGATCACCAAACCTGGTCTTTATTTATTTATTTGTTTGTTTTGCGTTTGGGTCCACATTTTCCTCCTGCTCTACCCAGGACCTCCTACTGTGATTCCTTTCGGAGGGGACCCTAGTGGTAGCTGAGTAGTCTAGCTCAGGTCTTGGGTCTTGAGGCCAGGGTTCACGTGGTCCCTTAATCCTTTGGACTAATTGTGACCCTGCATCTTTGATTTTCTTTGTTCTTCTTTGTCATGAATGAGTGATAGTTGCACCTTAGGTGGCTGCTCACAATCTTTTAAAAAACTGATTATTTTTAGTTGGTGAAGGCTTACAGAACACGTCCGCAGTTTGGCATTCTACATTGCATTCCTATTTCGCTTCCCCTGGTTCAGTGCGGTCCCTTCAATGCACCACTGCCCAGCCTACCTCCGTCCCCTGTCTCTGGCCTCCACTCCCCCTTCTCGCCTAACCTCTGGGAACTTTGTCCTTGGGTAAATGCTTCCCTTGAGCTCGGATGGTTGATTATCTCCAGAACTGTGTATTTCTTCTGTTACTGTTCTCCTTCTAACCCTCTGAAAACCACTCGCCGCCATTGAGTTGATTTCCACATCTAGTGACCCTCTAGGGCAGGTGGGCTTCTGAGGCTGTGAATCTTTTCAAGAGCCAAAAGCCTCGTTCTCCCCCTGGAGGAGCAGCTGCTGGGTTTGTGTGTCTGACCTTGTGGCTAGCAGCCCAATGTATAACCCACTACGTCAACGGATCCTGATCCCACTTACAGGCCTGTCTGTTGTGTGGCTGCAAATTGAGCCATGGAGGTGAGTTCATTTCCAGACCTGAAGGGTCTGATTTGGAGCTTTGTTCTACCCCTTTTTCCCCTCCTGCTTTATCCAGGATCTTGTAACGGGGACATCTTCAGAGCAGTTGGTAATGGTAGGCAGGTACCAGCTAGTCGTCTGGTCTCTGGGTTACGGAGACTGATAGTCACATGGTCTGTTAGTTCATTGGACTGATTGTTTTCCATAAGACTTTGATGTTGATCATGCTTCTTTCCTCCCGGGTAGAGACCAATAGTTTTACCTTAGAGACCAATAGTTTACCTTAGACGGCTGCTCTGGAGCTTTGAAGGAAGGCCCTAGTGGCTGTTCATCCTTGTAGGATGTTGAATGTCGTCTTTGTGAACGATGTTATGCCAGTTGACCTGAGTGTCCTCTGAGACTGGAGTTAATGGGAGTGATGATGGAGGTTGGGTGAAGCCACCCTCCCCTAGCCCCACCACTGTTCTGTGGCATCATCCTGCGTTCCAGGAAGCAGTGATAGTGGGGCAAGGGAGCTTTCAAGACCTGGCCGTGGATTCCGGATTTGACTCTTTGAGACTCAGTCTCAATTGGAATGTGAATACTGATACAACCTCTTTAGTAGGAGAATGTGAGGATTAAGTAAGGTCCCATAGGTCAGATATACCAAGGGACTAGTGCAATGTGTTCTTAACTTCGGTGGAAGCTACTTGGGAGCCCTTGAGTAGTACAAATGGTTAAATGCCTGGCAACTGACTCAAAGATTGGAGGTTTAAACTCCCCGACCAAACAAACAAACAAAGCACCTGGATGAGTTGTCTTGGAAGAAGGGCGTGGGGACCTTCGGGAAGATCACAGCCTGGAGCAGTTCCTGGAGCCTTGTTGGACTCTGTATCCGTGGGGTCACTGAGAGCTGGAATTGACTCCCCAACAGGAGTTGGTTTTCCTTGTGGCGACACCTTCACATAGAGTCTCTTTGTTGTAAGCACGACCTGAGATGTTTATCCGTGTTTTGTGACTGAGCAGAGGAATTGGCCTGTTTACATCATAACAAACTGTAGATAACATTGTGAAGAATGAAGGTTCCTCCAGGGAGGGGCAAAAGTTATTCATGAAAAGCTGAGAATAATGATAAAAATGTCAATTCTCCAGACCCTTGCCTACAGCAAAAAAAGAAAAAAAATTGTGTTGGATGCTTGAAAGGATTTGAAACCAAGTGTGTCTGCATCAAGTCTGAGCTTTTAACCACCAAGCTTTCACTCAGTGGTGACATCCACACTATTGGATTTTGGATATTGAAAAGAAAGCAAAGTCAACAATAATCTATACTTTATCAAGGGTTCATGAGGGAGGGAAAAAATGAGGAGTCGATATCAAGGGTTCAAGTAGAAAGAAAATGTGCTTGACAATGGACGGATGTATGGATGGTGATAAGAGTTGTAAGAGTCCCCAATAAAATGATTTAAAGCAAACAAACAAACCATATTGTTGAGAATGAGGGGGTTTGGAGCAGAGACCCAAAGTCCACCTGTAGACAGTGGGACATCCCCCCACAGTGGGGCCACAGGGAAGGGATGAGTCAACCAGAGAGTAGTAAAACACGGATGAAACACACAATACTCTTCTAGTTCCTTGAGGCTTCCTCACCCCCCACTATCATGACCCCAGTGCTGCCTCTCACGTTGGACTAGACTGGAGCATGTACACAGGTACAGATAAAAGCTCACAGCACACGGAATCCAGGAACAGGAGTGTGAATAGCGATTGATACCAGAAAGGTAGGGGAAAGGTGGGGAGAGGAGGGCAGGAAGGAGGAACTGATCACAATATGGACACATAACCACACCCCAGTCCCTCCAGGGGGACAAACAACAGAAACTGGGGGGGAAGCGAGACAATGGTGTAAGAGATGAAAATAATAATAATTTATAATTTATCAAGGGGTCACACAGGTGGGGGGGGTAGGTAGGGAAAAAAGAGTTGATTCCAAGGGTTCAATAGAAAGTCAATGTCTAAAAAAGAATGATAGCTACATATGTATAAATGTGCCTGATACTATTGATGCATGAATTGTTATAAGAGCTGTAAGAGCCCACAATAAAATGATCTTTTAATTAAAAAAAAAAAAGACTTCTTCAAAGTGATAAAAGCAAAGATGTTACTTTGAGGACTAAGGTGTACTTGACCCGAGCCATGCTACTTTACCTAACTTTATATCCATGTGAAAGTAGGACAATGCATAAGGAAGATTGCACATAAATGGGCGCATTTGAACGACAGTGTTGACAAAGAACAGTAAATCTATCACAGGTTTCCAGAAGGAGGACGGAATCATCCTAGGAATGACAGCTAGCATGCGTCTTGAAAACAAAGATGGCAAGATTTGGGCTCGCATACTTTGGACATGTCCTCAGGAGGGACCAGTTTCTGGGGAAGGAAATCATGTTTGGTGGCAGAGTGGTGACTCATTGGGCTGCTAATCACAAGGTCCAAAGTTCGAAATCTGTTTGCTCTGCTCTCTATAGAAGACAAGCTTTCCTGTGGAGTTACAGTCTCAGAAACTCACAGGCACAGTCCTTAAAGGATCACTATGAGTCCGAATTGATTCGATTACATTGAGTTGGTTTTGCTTTTTTGAGAAAGTGGAAGGTCAATGAAAAAGAGGAAGGTGATTCTCAACAGGATGGATTGGCACAGTGGATGGATGCCACAATTGACTCAAACATAGCTCAATGGATGTGGGATGGTGGAGGATGGGTCAGGGTTCTGTTCTGCCATGTGGAGGGTCACTGGGCTGGAGCCTTAACTACAACATAAATTAACTCAGTGGGTCTCAACCTCCCTAACGCCGCCGCGACCCTTTCATACAGTTCCTCATGTTGTGGTGACCCCCCAATCATAAAATTTTTTGCGTTGCTACTTCATAACTGTCATATGAATCAGGTGACCCCTGTGAAAGGGTCGTTTGACCCCAAAGGGGTC